TTGCAAATATGACAATTCTTTCATCAGCATTACATTTGCCATTTTCGTCAACGATTCCATTGTCATACAATAAAAAACGATGTCCATCAGAATTTATCGTCCAGGTGGCTATCAAAATGATTTAAAATACTAAAAATAATCTTAACTATCATATTATAATAACTACTTACGTGGTATTATACAGTCTTCTAAGCTTTTTGGATCGATTGGATTTCCTTTTGACCGGTGGTTACGTGTAAAGTTCTCTTGACTGTATCCTCAGATGGCATTTGAGCCTTTGCTGATTTATCCAATTTTGATACACCATTAGCAAATATTTCAACAAGATTTGTAGTTGTTGTGGCTGTATGTATTTATAAAAAAAATATTTTATGTTTACAATCTACATAATATTATTATTTGAACTTATAAACGCTCATGAATATTAGGCAAAATAATTTTAAATATGTAGAATATTGTTAACATTTCCAGAAAAATGTAAAAAAAAACTATTGACTAGCTTTTTTATTCTCAACTCAATATAATTTGCTCATTTTCGTGATTTTTCCGTATTTTGTCAAAATTTGAACTTTAAATACTTATAAATAAAAACTGTGACAAAGATCTTGAATATTTTTCAAATGTCATAGTAACAATTTAGTAGGATCCTTGTATTAAATTTTCAAGCTTTTTTACCCGACAAAAAAAGTTTTATCGACATTCATAGAAAAAAATACTAATGCAATTGGAAACACTACTAATGAGTTATGACATGTTATGACTATCCAATTAATTAACATACTAGGTATATATTATATATTATCTATATAATATAATATAATATAATATTTATATATGTACTTACATGATTTTTCTTTCATATTCATCAACGCTTTGGTTACCATAACTTCCTTGCGATTTGGTAAATGATTATGACGATGAATTTTTTCATATTCGGTTATTTGTTTATCCGTACTTAAAACTGCTGGATACTTTAATGAAGACTTTTTAGAACATCGCCATTTAATTGTTTTACTAGTTTCGTAGTATAATGTGTACATATGACCATCAAGACAAACTTTGTCATTTTTTTTGTTAGATTTAATTATTTCCATTGTTGCTGGTAAAATAATAGAACATTCGAGAACACAGCATAACAACGTACTAACATATTATTGCAAAAATACCAATATTATAATATTACTGTTGATATTTTATCAATTATCGAAAACCTGAAAACCTAAATACCTACCTATCTCATTATCTGTCTTTGAATCATTATAAGATAAGTTTGAAATATGATTTTGACATTTTTATTATAGTCGTATCATTTGTCAATTGTTGTCCTTTACGATGTGACGAGTCATATAGGAGGTATATAATATCAAATAATCACTTATTTAGTGACCAAGTGCCACGTTGTTTCTAATCATTTGTCGGGGAAAGCGGCACGAGCTTCGACGAGCGTCCGTAGTACCTACATATTACATATTAAGTCAAACTGGACCGCCACAATCATAATAAATCACATCCAAGCTTTTAACTAAATTGTATGTAAATAGGCAACTATTACATATTATTATACTTAAAGGAGGAACATTTTTTGCTTCTCTCCTTAAAATGGTTTGCTATACATAACATATTAAGTAATGGTTAAAAAAAATAATTAATAAATAATATAAAACCTTTTAATGGGGGAGAAGATAGGGAAAAGGAGGAAAGGGCTAAGCTACAAAAAAACCACGTATATATTTTACACTTCTCACTGATTAAGTAAAATATTGTAATTATCTTGAGTTATTAAAATTCTTTTTAAAAAAAAAAACAAAAATGTGCGTCGTTTGCTTTTTTTTCCTTTAGCTTTTTTTTCAAATGCTTTTTTTTCCGTTTGCTTTTTTTTCATTTGTTTTTTTTTCCGTTTGCTTTTTTTTTACTGCTTTTTTTTCCGTTGCTTTTTTTTCAATTGCCTTTTTTTCCTATTACCCTTTTTCGTATGTAAAAAAAATGTAAATTCGAAATCTATTGTGGAATGTCTAGCAAGTCCGTCACCTCAAGTGAAAATCGTTTAACATTCAAGTTAGCTACAAGGGTAAGCAATCCGACTTAGTCGGATCGCAGACAATGTCCTGTAGCTAATCAGGTAAGCAATCCACCTGGGGTGGATTGCAGACACCTCGTTCAGCGGCTAAAAGTGAAACTAAATTAAATTGGTAGTAAATACCTTCATTATACACCCTTAAATCATAATTTATAAAAAATTAAGATCGCAAGTAGGTAATTGTATTTGGCATGATAAACCAAAGATATTCTAATCATATACGGATAGACGGTAGTATATTAAGTATTTTTGTAATTATTTCATAATGTATGCACCACGGAGATTATGTTTACAGTAATCATGCAGATAACAATGAAATAATCATGGAACTTGGAAAAATTATGTAAAAAAAATGCAAAATATCTGGGCAGCCATGCTACAGCATAGGTCTACCGTGGTAGAAACGGCGGCAATTTGTCCGCCGCCAGGATTCGATCTCACCTTCCCAATGACTTTCACCTAAATCTACGGGACACCTACCCAGATGCTTGGAGATGGGAAAATTTGAGCATTTAAGCTGTTCATATACATCAGCGAATACTGCGATAAACATTGTTTAACCGATGAAACCCGTTGGATATGGCCATTATTTTTATTGCATATAGTTAACAAAATAGATGTAAATATCATGCTATTGAATGCAAATGCATAGCGATTCTGTTGTTGTAAAAAAACTAAAATATTTGTATTGCATTATTATGCATATGTATATATATATATATATGGTTCTGCATCAAATAAATAGTTCATTTATTTAATATATATACATAATATGTGTAACTATAAAATTAAGATATAGGTACCTACATTAATATATATTAGCAATATACAATTTAACATAACTCATTCAATTTAGAGTGTATTAATTATGAAATCCAATATTACATCACAACATTGAGCACTAACGGTCTGGTTAAGATATTGTCTTTTATTTATTATTTTGTGAATTTATTTAAATCTAACCACAGAATCGTGTTGAACCTGTTACATATTGTGTATATAATGGGCAGTTTGTGCGAAAACAAATAGCTCTGTACATCATTGACATAGTATTACATTATTCATAGTTTGATATTTAAAGCTTATTTATTGAATGTGTATTCACTATTCACGTATGTAGCTGTATAATTAATATCATATAGACGTACATAAATAAATTAGCAATATACAATAAATGTAGGGTTATTGTAGCGTAATAACCGAACGGGAAGGAAAACAGCACGCGCACGGATTTTATAAGGAACAAACCACCCTAATAGGGCACAGAAGGCGGCGAACAGGGGTCGAAAAGCAAAGGTTTTGAAGGAATCCCGTCGAAATCTATCGCGGTGACGAGGCGGAGGCTTGATTTCAAAACGATAACGCTGCGATAGTTTTTCGCGCTCCCATTGGCCGGGCCGCGAAAACCCGTAGAAGAAACGCAAAAGAGGCTTAAGGATTCTAGAAGAAAAAAAGCGAAACGTTACCATTTTATAGAAGAAAGAAGAAGATTAAGGTTTTTCCTCGGCGACTGGTTATAGTCCGAAAAATCAAAAAAGCCCTCTTTTTCCCATATGAGAATTTCCTTATCAATGTTGGGTCAATTGTTAACTTTAAACACGTTCTGGCAACACTGGATTTTAGACCGGGCCTTCCATTTCTTTATTATCTAATATCAATTGAAATATGTTGTTTAAAAACATTAAAACATCATTATTCTTATATTTTCCTTATTAGTTTTCCGTTGATAATATTAATAACTACATTCAAGAATTGATTTTGGACGCGAATACTGAATAATCATGCCGAAAGTTCGGAGGAGCAGGAAACCGCCTCCTGATGGGTGGGAACTTATAGAACCTACCCTGGAGGAATTGGAGCAAAAAATGAGAGAAGGTAGGTACGAAAGATTTTGGTTTCTTTAAGAATACTTGATTTTTAAGGTACTATTTCACCATCAATGTGTTCCATGTAAACCGATAAAAATACTGCAAACAACCATAACATTATAATCAGGTTATAAATTTAGTTTAATTTATCCATAACTAGATGTCTAATAATCTATCTATCCTACCAAAAAAAAAAAAAATGACGTTTTTCATAATTATTAAATGTAATGAATAAAGTGCGCAGAACACATTTTTAACCAGCTCGACAATAGTAAGTAGTCAATATATATCCCTATTTATAGTTTGGTTAAAACTAGGTAATATAAGGTATGCAAGGTAAAAATGATGTGCGTGTATATCATTTGATTAGAATATGATTGACTAAATTGAAATTTGGTATTAACATAGTTGCAAGAGAGGTTATGGGCATCTTATGGGTAATGTAAATAGCTGTGTCCGTGTGTGTTAATCCAATACGTGTGGTTAGGTTACCCAGGTTATAAAACCCAGACTTATCTTAAACTTCTCGAATTGAGAATAATTTTATTATTTTTCATTTAATCAACTATCGACATTTAACAATTATATTTTAATTTAATTTTAAAATCAATATTATTCAATAGTATTAAATTATTCATTTTTATGTGTACTTCTTTTAAATAAATATTTGTTCACCAGCCCACTGAATCCACAATAAGTTGTTAGGTGCAGCAAAAGCATCATTTGCTGCATCTGTCCATGCTTATAATAAGATTTAAATCTTTTTATTTTAAATTTATTTATATGTATATAATATAATTAATATGTGGTTGTAGTTATAATTATAGGTATGCTTAAACTTTGGTTGCAGGCACTGCATGAAATCAAACTATTTCCTTATTTTTAAAATTTTTTCAGTCCAAGACTAATTCCAAGTCAAAAAAATTAATTTTATACACTTATAATTGATTATGATTTATGACTATATTTATAATCTCTTACACACTATGAAATAAAAAAACTTTACACAAAATTATTTGTATTTTATTAATTGATAATTTATCCACAAAATTTTAAATATGCAACATTGTGATAAACACCAATTATTAGAAACAGATACCTAACAGAAAAAAAATTAAATAATACAATAATCTAAAATAATATTTTATTTTACATTTACATTGACATTTACATATTTAATATTATTGTTTTAATAACACTTACTTTTTTGCTTAAAGTTATTGCTGGTGTAGAGTAATAATTAATTACTTTAAGTATTTATTTGTTGTATGAATATTGTAACAGTTAGGCATGTTTCAATTAATATTAATATCATGTTATTTTTAGCTGAAACTGAATCTCATGAAGGCAAACGTAAAGTAGAAGCATTGTGGCCAATTTTCAAAATTCACAACCAAAAATCAAGATATATTTATGATTTGTTTCATAGACGTAAAGCTATTTCTAGAGGTTTGTTTGTATTACAATATTAGTTTTAAATACAACTATAATTATCATTTGGTAGGTAATATTTTAAATCCTAATTGCAAGAGGAAGAAATACATAGAAAATATAATAATATACTTTTAAAAGGTTAAAATTCATTATTTTCGTTTGGGGTTTTAGTATTACACTTACAAAATATGTACCTTTACTCAATTTTATTCATTTTTCAGAATAAAGTATTGCTTTTAGAATGGGTTTTAAATTAAATAACTTTGACATAGTTGTGTGCTATTGTTTATTAAATTGAGTTAAATTACAATTTTTTGTTTTGACTTGCTGCTGTTGTTTGATTATCATATCAAATTAATTAATTAAAATTACATTTTATTTAATTATTAAAAGTACAGTTGGCTTGCATTTATTATTAGTTATTACTGTATATCAGTGGTGTGCGGTCAAAGCAAGCTAGGTAAGCCGTAGGTATGCCCGGCCAACATTGAAGAAATAAAAAGTTTTAACATTTATGAAATTAAACGACAATGCGGCTTAAATATTAACATTACAACTATTTATTTATTCTTATTTGAGTATTTAATTTAAATAATGTATCAGATTTCTTCAAAACAATTTCTTTATAAAAGTGCTCATATTCTAGATTGCCAGGTCCGTATCGTTATTATAGGAATAACCTGTGACGGTAGAAGTGGATATCAAAGTTTTTATGTGTCAGTTGAAAGTGCTATACTTTGCCATTGCATATCGGATTATTTTCATTATTAATACACTTTTACTCCACTATTCATTAACAAATGACAACATTATTTTGGTTAGCATAACCTTATTTTTAAGGTGTACTAGAAGTTTTATTTTAGTGCTTATCCAACATAAAATATCATTGCTTGTCACCGCTATATATTTAATATCATTAGTATGAAATTGTTAAAGTATAGGTATAGTTTAAATTATTATTAACTTTTTTTGTCATAGAATTGTATGATTTCTGTCTGCAAGAAAAAATTGCTGATCAAAATTTAATAGCAAAATGGAAAAAACAAGGTTATGAAAACCTATGTTGCCTTCGTTGTATTCAAACTAGGGATACAAATTTTGGAACTAGTTGTATATGCAGAGTTCCGAAGTCTAAACTAGAAGAAGTAATTACTTAATAATTTAATATGATCAAATATTAGTTTTAAAATCAACATATTATTTACTTATATTTTATATTTTTCAGGGTCGAATTGTGGAATGTGTGCATTGTGGATGTAGAGGTTGTTCGGGATAAATAAACATTAAATACCAGTTAAATGATTATTGTATTATTTTTATTCTTAATACGTGTAATGAATTTATTTCTATATTAATGTGTGTGCGGTATAAGACTGAAATTAAAACAGCATACTAACTGAAAACTCAATAAGTTAGACATTTTTAATTTCTATGATAATGTAAAGTACGAATTGCATTCATTTTTAAGATAAACATTTTTAATAACAAATATTATTGACTTTTCTTCCTATTATTTCAATAAAAAATGTATATCATTTTTGCGAGTGGTGTGGTCTTCTGATAGAGATGTTGCAGACTTGAAGTATTAATAGTATTATTATATATAGATATGATAACAATTACGTATTGTAAAATCTTAAAATTCTAGTGCTTATATTCTGCAGATGTGCAGTGTACGTTGTACACCAAGATTAGTGAATTCATGTCAGATATCTGGCGCTACAGTCATGCTCCTTCTAATTGTATAATGTCTATGGTTTGATTTTACAGTTGGTAATAGGATAAGATAAAACAAGTATTTCTGAATGTATCTAAATTTATATATATACTTTAAAGAAAAGAAAAGAATTATATTCTGGTATATTTAATGCGTTAAATCAAAATATTTTGACTTTGATATAACCTTTTAAGATTCGGAGTGGATCAATGAATGTATTGATTTTACAATGAAGTATATATTTTTTTGTGTGTATACACAATAAATTATAGATCAAATTCTTCATCTTTAATTTTGAGTGTGAATATTGGTTTCTGATAACAAACTAGATCTAGTTGGTACTTATGAGTGATCAAAAAGAGATTTAAAAATAACAATACATTATGGTTAATAGTTACTATTCAGTATTCTTACCCGGCTCAAGTTGATTTAAGCCAGGAAATAAATTAATAAAAAGTATATTTTAGTTTCTATTAAAAAATATATCAAATACATTTTTAATTAATCAGTACTTTCTTAAGAGGACACCATAACCCTCATGTGCTGTCTCCGTCTTACAAACGTCTTACAATGCATCTTACACAGCAAATTTTACGTTCACAATACTACAATTTACTCAGTAATTTCTAAAAATTAATTGACCTAATATGAAATCTAAATGTAAGATTATTATATGGGGCATCTTGAAGGATTTATTGTTATTTTTATTAAGAAGCAAGTTTTAAACATTTTATTTTTACATTTTAACAATTAATGCTGGGAACGTATAGAACACGATGCGCACGCAGATGCTCCAAGGTAGCTTAGTCAGTGGGTAGTGATCAATAAGTGAAATAATTTTTGAGTTACAAAAATAATTTATACTAGTCAAATCTATAGTAATGATGTTGTATCGGCCAGAAAATTATTAGGAACCCTATTAAATACTATTATAAATGCATTAATTTAAAATTGAAAAAAAAACAAACGTTTTGATTGTATGATCAAGACTAAAAATATCCAATTAATGATTTACTTTAATTGACATATTATTAACCCTAATTACAACTTGTGAAAACGTGAACTAAAGAATTATCTCAGGTAATATATTAAATTTTTATCTGTGGATATACCTTATGGCTAATATATTATTATATTATTATAAACAAAGTGTACTTATAAGTACACCTTGCCATTATGGAACCGGTGATAATAATATAGATTATAATTAATATATTGTTTAAAAAAAAAATCATGTTTGTTATTCATTCAAAAAGCGTGTAAGGAGATGTCTCTCTGTTGTACAGTAGGTCACAAGTGCCAAGTGGGTCACTGAAATGAATGATGTTGAATTTGAATTCAATGATATAAAATCATTGTGTATGAAAAACTATTCTGCGCGTAGAAGGTCTGTCAGCCTATGATATTACTTAGTATATTTGATGATGCGTTACTATGATTAAAGTAATTCATTTCAATTTTAGGAAATAGTACTACAGTAGGTTAATTTCATTTTCGCTAAAAAAAATTTGTTTTGGTCATTATTATTCGAAACTGTCGAGAGTGTATTTTCGATTTTGTGAACTTTCTGGGTTGCAACATTTCACACACACAATATTATTATTACTTTTTTTTTTATTAAATATAGTTCTCTGTTTCGTGGCTTAATTATGGGGAGACAGTGAGACACCACTTATAAGAGGTACACTTGTTTTTAAACTTATAATATTCCTAGTGTAATATTAAGTAATAATAACATAACTATGTAACAAGAATAGAATTTATTATGTGCTTAAAATGTAAAATTTCATGATGATTTTCTTGTTGTAAATATTTTTGCTTTTAAAGGTTTAAAATACTGAGATTCAAGTGATTCAACACTACCTCTCCCAAACATTAGGTTTAAATACTGAACACTACAGGACCGTATAAGCACATGGGTCTAGGGCCTACGGTAATATTAATCCGGGCCTGTCTACACAGTAGATTTTATTCATGTTTGCCAAAAAAATACATTTGAAAAGTCATTGTGTGTATAAAATGTAATAATATACTTTAAAAGTTTCAAGTACCCACGAATAATATTTTAATTTACAACAAATGACAAAAATCATTATTCTTGGTTATTTAATATATGTAATTTCGTTCACATTTGAACAAAACAGAGCTTGTATATATTTTTAGAATTTTTGGTTACTTAATAACTTATTTTCGAGGAATGTTTGTCTTAAATTTTGAACCCTTAGCCATAAAAGTTGAACATTAAATAGGTAGGTACATTTTTATTTACAAAATCATTTAATTTTCAATTTGAGAAATTTTGTCAACATTTGAAATTTAAATGCTTATATAAACATCGTGCCTATATATTTTTAATATTTTTCAACCGATATTGTAAATATACATCAGGAGCCTTGCATAAAATTTTCAATCTTTTGGACCCGACAAATAAAACGTTATTGACAATTATAGACAAAAAAATTTAAAATGCCCGTAAACAGCTCAAAACGAATCAAAATACTTTGTGCAAATTGTATCAAGTATATGAATTGATAATATACACAAATGGTGCAAATTTCAAGTATCTACAGATATTTGTTTTAATTACAACTAAATAAGATAATCGCTGCACGAGGAATTGAGTAAATCTAATGTTGTAACTTGTAAACATTTTAACTCCAAACGCTCATAAAAATTTAATTTGACTTTTTTTGTTGATAAATTTAGACGAACTTAAAGGTAAAGAATCCTGTGTTAAATTTTTAAAATCTTCGATGTAATAAGAAATTTTTTTTTATACATTTCTAACTCAAAATAATTTTGTCAACATTCTAAATTCAAACGTTCATAAAAAATTATTGTGGATTTCCTTCAAAAATTTTTTTGAATTTCCACTAATTACAATTTACGAGGAACCTTGTATTACATTTCCAAGTTTTTTTACTTCGCGAAAAAATTTTTTCCGACATTAGTTAAAAAAAAAAACAAACATTTATCGAAAATGTCATATGGTTATAAATACAGCTGTGAATTTAATGCACTTAAGATCCTTAAAAAATGTCGAAAAATGCAATAAAATATGCACTTAAATTGAAAAAATTTAATATGAAATGCCAACAAATTCCTACAAATTCACAGCCCTAGTTATAAATAATTCAACACGGGTTGGAATATTTTTTAAATGTATACGGTGTATAGGTGTAGAAAATTCGGATATAAACATTCAGTAAAAATATCATATATCTACGATATTTTATTTTTTAGAGTTACACAAAAACCAAAATCGATTTTGTCGGAAACCGGATCTGTGAAAATTCCCATTTTTCCTTAATTTTTTGTTTTTCTGCCACTTTTAAAAACTATTGGAAATTTTTACTTCTGACCACAGAAAGCACTAACTAGATTCACTTTTTCTTATCAGAAAACTAGAGAAGGTGCTGTTTTAAGAAAGTCGAAAACTGCCCCAAAAGGTGATGACGGGTACAAAAGAAAAAAATAAATTAAAAAAGAAAAGAACACACTTTGTAAAATCAATACCTACTGTCATCGCTCCGCTCAGAATGTAAAATAAAAATAACTTGGTTGAAGATATTTTATAATGATTAAGTAAAACTTTTTTTAAACTTTTTTTAGACCTTTTTCTTCATGAATAATGCGGGGGCTTTGCTCTTTTACAGTTTTACCATTTTGTCAATTGATTAAAAATTGAACATTATAAAAATAAGTTTTTCACCTCATCAATACATCTATATTGCCTACACAATGCGCCGTATAACATAATATACAAACAAAAGTTCAAGGAACGGATACACTGGATACAGAAACTGGTTGTTGTTAATTTTGATCGACGCTCAACGCGGGGTACTATGTATTTTTGTTATGATTCTAAGTCGATCTCGGTTTACTTAAGTTTTTATGTAATATGTTCTAAAATGTTAAATTTATCAACAATTTGAAAAATGTATTGTTTAATGCGAATTGTAATAAGATCCGTTTAAGCGATTAGTGTAAGTATTGAGTGATTAATCATCACAGATATTATTTCAATCCATTACGCTTCCAATAATGACCGAAGGTTCTTTTTATTAAATCTCTAATCATTAAAATCAGCTACATCAATATTGTGTTTGAATTTATGAATTTCTTAATACAATGATATTAAAAAATCACCTTCATGTTGTATGCTTCTAAGAATGTTATCTACTAGATAATTGTATTGTAGAAGCCTCTCTTTCTAATAAGACTGGGATTTAATCTAAGATATCTCTGTCATCTCTCGTAGTCTCGTGTCGACCAATCGTTATATCGTCCAGTTTTGATGACAAACATTCCCTCATGGTATTATTTGTTGCATAGTGGTCACGCGTTATATAATGACCAACACTGCAGTCCTAGACAAGCCAAATGCTTGTCCAAGGTCTATTCAAACAAAACAATGTAATTTTCACTTTTAATTTTATAATTTTCTCTTTGTTATCATGTTATTTAACAACTGTTGTCATTTACCACTGTGCTGTAAATTAAAAATTTAAAACCTTTTAAAATTTAATAAAATTAGTAAAGGTCTTCTACGTTTTTAATTTTAATAGTTTAAAGAGTACCTACCTACTTTCTGCAAAAGTTCTCAGACACTACAGCGGTAGTTGTGGCTGTAAAATGTAGCCACACACAATATTTATGAGAGTGAAAATACAAAATAAAAGTGTGTTATTGGTTTTTATATTCTAAAGAAAACCTATTATAGTTTAGTAGTTTTAAAAGTATACAAATGAAAAAAATGAAGAATCTTGGAAAA